GACGTTAGAAGTATGCATTATTCTTGTAGGCATGTTCTACTTTACCATCACGTTAACATAATTGGTGAAAGATTTTTTTTACTATCCATTAATACCATAGACTGGGACGGTGGCGTCGTCCTGTAATCCAGCTACTCGGAGGTCTCGAATTGTGGATATTAGGCGTGAACTGTGGATATGATATGTCTGGTGTGGATTAACGTCCGCACTAGTAAGTCCGACCATCCTGATAATTATACCATTGCAAAGCAAAAATCTGGTTGGGATTCCACTAAACTGGGACGGATTGCGTCGTCCTGTAATCCAGCTACTCGGAGGTCTCGAATTGTGGATATTAGGCGTGAACTGTGGATATGATACTTTCTGGTGTGGATTAACGTCCGCACTAGTGAGTACTACTATCTGGAACATGTGGTTCGGATTCCAATTATAAACTGTAGATCCCTTAGTTGCCGGCTGTATGGGCTATTAATCAAACAGCTGTGTCTAAAAGACTACAAGATCACACCACTCATCCTACACTTATCTTCATTCGCTCTTGGCTTAAAACATTCGTATGGTCGCAATAGTTAAAGCGGTTAGGAACAAGTACAGGATAGACACATGTTGAACTCCGCGAGTCAATATGATTTGTAGCCTAATTACACGGTTAAGCACGCGTTGGACAGGTGAGGTGGTGAACTTTACCTCGGTGTTTACCTCGGCATCCACTCACGCGAGGTTTTCAATAAATGAATCACTTATGGTTGTCGGTGTCGGTGATATTTCACTGTGGCGTAGGTCGAGGCCGTGCGTGGTCCAGAGACTGCCGTGTTCCAATGTTTAATTATGTATTCTGCACGCATATATTGTTGGTTTTATACGTACTGTCACGCCGTGTGTATAATAATAGTGTTGATCATAACTCTTGGGACATTATTACCGTACGTGCTGTTTGAAATCGTATCCTGTGTTTGTGATGGCGATTAACATTTCGCCAATGCGATTCTACTTCAATGAATGCCATTGAAATGGATAAACCATGCTGGTTTGATTAATTTGGTAAAAAAAAAATAGATTGTTTCCTAAGTATATGGGCTTATAAATATACTCCGGGACGAGTTGATTTCGTATCCTACCATTTCCGAGATCGTTGATTCTATATTGAGAAATACAGTATCTGTAAGTACGTAATCCGGCCACATACGTTTTAGAAATTAACATCATAACGTTGATGACCAAAATCAGCTGGATCAGTTAGAAGCAAAAGTAGGCATTCTACAATTCTTCATGATCTTTATAATACTGTAATTTTCATCCAAACGTAATGCGTACCCAAGTGCCTCTTAAAAATCATGAATACATTTCTACAGATTCAATTAAGTTTCAAAAGCTCGCTTGAATTACAAACGTTTGACAATTCATGTTATAGGTAATATATGCATAAATATATTGGGCAGTAAATACAATTGATTTTTAATGAGGATACTAACATTGAGCGGACTGGGAAACAACTTATACTGCATTTAGCACTGTGAGGGAAACTTTCCCCTCCAAGGCAGTTTCGTTTACTAAAACCTCCCAGAATGTTCAGGCTACGAGTATTAAGATATCCACAGACCTAGAGCAAGTCTTAAGTCTCGATTCTTCTATAATATATCTCTAGGATCCTTACATGAGGAAAATAACCCTTACTGCTCCTACATATCTGGGTGATTGGACTAGAATAAAAGTGTAGTAAATTACTAACTTCTAATCTTATTTGAATAGTCTCTATGTTTCAAATACTATCATCATTCCTTAGATATTTTCAAAAACTAAGTTAGCTAGAACCCTTCCCAAACTTTAACAAACAACAAAAATCACAATAATCGAGGGTAAGTACTTTATAAATTAGTGGTTAATAAAGATTTAGTGTTCATTCTTTGGTTGAAACTAAACAGTTCAGAAATTGGTTTTGCTTATATATTCCGTTGATGTTTTCTAAATAACTGATTACAGAGTAGGAACTTTGTCTTCTCTACTATCAGGTGCCAAAACACAACTAGGAAGTATAGTACTAGGGATCGCACTGTTGTGTCAATTGACGTGTGAACGGTGTAGGTAGGAGGGCCGGTCTGCCCACCGTGTTGACCTACTGACCTTCCCAAGGCCAAGGTGACCAATAGGTTCTGTGGATCGTTGTAGTTTTTGGCCAGTCGTGGGCTAATCGCTTAACCTTCCCGTCCGCCCTAAAAGTATCATTTATCTAGTTCCGAGTAGGCCGCCTAAATTGTCTAGTTTGCTTCGGGTATTTTGATATTTTAGTGGTAAACATGGTTGAGGAGTATTTTTTTTTAAGTTGTATAATTTGGAATTAAACTGGATGTATGAGTGGGAACAGTGACCGTCATTTTTGAAATATTTCTGAGCATGTTCACTTAAAACATTAGTATGTCATTGAGCATGTTAGCCTACTTCAATAGTTAAAGCAAATAAAACTGGGTACTGTATTTTGATTTGGGGTCAGTGTTTCTGCGTTTTCCTTCTTGATGTTTGAATCTTTCACTATTGATGAAACTAGACATTACATCCCACGTCAAAAAATAAGGAAGAAAAAACAATTTACTAGCGCTGTGACATACAACCTTCTTTTTGGATAAAAAATCAGTGACAGCTGGTCCTTACAGATGGGATTACTTCTTCATTCTTCAGTATCCAATAGTCGATGGTTTGCTAGATCTGATCGTGGAGCACAGCTGATCTCTCTATTGTTGATGCAGCAAAACAGGCCGACCTTGGACCAGCTGACGGTGAATCACAGCTGATTGCATGTTGTGTACAGCTGAAGTGATACAGTGACGTTGGAAAACGACCTACGACGAGCCATTTTGGAATATCAATGAAACGCGCATACAACAATGTTAGTATATTATGTAATGTTCAACAAAATAGCTTGGAGCATTTCTTTTATTAAAATTGAAAAGAAATTCACGGATGATATTGGAACCGAAAACGGTATGGATCATACATAAACAGTTTTATTTATATAACCTTAAAATATGAGTTGGTTTGAGCTTTTTTGGCTGTTACATTTAGATGCTAATAGAAACATTTTTACAATGTGACGTAATTTGTTTATGTTTATGATCAATACAGTTTTCTGTTCTATCCGTGAACACACCTTCAGTTTCTCGTTCCCAAATCGGGCAAGCTACTTCCTGCAAAAACAGCGTCAGCCTGTTAATAGGAGTGAATCGCTTTTATGTGTTGTTATGCAAGTAGTTACATTGTTCTGTTATGCTAAATGATTAACTGTATGAGATACTATCTGAACTTCAGCCCATCAAATCGACATCGAGAGACGCTGGCTGCAGCTATACAACCTGGATGCGTATGTCGTGAACAGTACAAGGATGTCGAAGGAAATTTGACTCCGTATCCCAAACAGTGTACAGCAGAGGTCGTTTCTTGCAACGTAATGCCCAGTGAGGTAGGACGACGCGCGCCAGAAATGGGCAACAAGTAGGCGGGCACTCCTCGCTCCTGCCGCGCGCACTACGCCACTACGACACCATCACAACACAAGCACATACATACTACACTCGCTACGTTTCTGTGAAGATTCGTCAAGATTTGTACAGGACAGTTCCGAATTTTGACAAGTCCTGGAGTGGCAGGATTATAAATGATTAGATACGACGTCGGCACACCATGCTGTGTATTTTATGATTAGGATGAATGAGGGTAAAACGACAGCTTTGTTACTGACTAAAATCCGCTTGATAATTTATTTTATAGTCAGGATAATGTAGTAAAATCCCAATGATCTCCGGCTGGGTCCAGTCATATGACTTTCACTTAAATCAGGATCGAACTGGCAACCTTATGTGCTGAATTTTGTGTCGAAGGCAATCAAAATGTTGATACTACTATTTGTCCCAAACTAAATTAACTAAAATTATTTTTATGTCTCTTTATTTAGATTTTTATCTGGCTACATTATTTGGTTGCAATGTTTTCGTGTGCATTAGCTTTTTTGAACGCAAGGTTAGTAGGTGTGGAGTTGGGTTTTATTTAAACGTCCAATGTGTATAAAGGTGAATATGGGGTTCAACCGCTGGTTAACCTCACTGGGGCTCGACCACTGCTGCGTTTTTAAAGTTTTCTTGCAAATAGATGTAAAATATCAACGCAGTGTCATACATACAACATAAAATTCTCGACAGATATGTTTTTGACATTCTAAAACCGTATGAATGACAAATATTTTCATAACATTTTTAAAACAAACACTGCAGCTATTTAGGCTACAGAGTTTACATTAAAGTTTCCGTACAATTTTTAACATAACGATTTAGGCTACGATTAAGATTTTCAAAGAAGGCTGTGTTTTATTTTTAACAATATTTTGGCAAATTTTGACACAAATAACTCATTTTTTCATATTTACAATATAAAACTTAGTTAAAAGAATAGTGCTCATTAATAATTGCCTTCATGAATGTTCCGCAAACAATGTGGCACAGCTGTGTAGCGGGTTGCGTTCCTCATTTGAAGGCGTTGTTTATGTAAGGTTATACAATGTTGAGGCATTGTGGCACCTTTAGTATTAATACAGGTTTATTTATTTTAAATGCTTACATTTTATGTGCTTCAGTTTGACAATGAACGTTTGGCATACTTCTGTTAATAAGCTAACATTTATTAATTGCTGTAATTTCAACACAAATTTTATTTGGTAAAAAATCACTATTCAATCGCCATACTTGAAGCAGCATTTATGACAATTTAAAGACATCAAGACATTGTCAATACTCAATCTGATATCACAAAATGGAACTTAACTCTGCATTGTAAGTAAAACTGGTGTGGGTTCGCTTTCAGACATACTAAGATCTTGCAATGTTATGCCTTCATTCATTTTGATTTTGGTTTACATAGTATTAACATGTTTGAGTCAGAGCTTATAGTTTGTCTATGTGTATTGTCTGTGTGTCTGTGGTTTGTCTAACGGCATGTTGTGTTGTGTGTCTGTCCAGGTGGGGACTCTAGCAGTAATGGATCGTCGACACACAGAAAAAGGAATCCATTAGGTGAGTAGATTATACCCTTAGATGCAAAAGACAGGGTATATACCTGTTCAAGCCAGTACAAATGTCCATAAAAAATAACTTTTTCGTCATCCCAATTTTGATCAAAACGAAAATTAAGGGATTTTTATTCTTAAGTAAAATTGATTTAAGCTTTGAATTGAAAATGTTTGTATCTAGTATGACTTTACTACAACTTAATTCTGATATTGGAACTATGTAGCTGGATTTTATCGTTAGCGTTTTTAAATGTAAGTGGTAGATTTGTCATCATGGAATATTGAGGTAGCCTAGTTGTCGAACATGTTCTGACCACTGAGCTAGATAGTATATCTGAAGGTAGCACTAGTTTGGTTTGTGAGGTTCATAAGGTACTATACAGACGTTACCGAATGTAAAATTTTGATTTTGTACTCGCTGAGACAGCGCTGAATATCAAAAGTGATTCGAGTTTGAGACATAGATTTAGCTTCATGTTAATTGAAAAGTTACGCAACTGTGCAACTTAAGGTAAAAATATAAAATAATAAAATACCCCCGCCAATATAAAACGTACTTACCATCTTTTATGTATTCCCTATATGGGAAATTCGCTAAAAGGAATAAAAATTAGTACATTTTGCCTCATTGATTGGCTACTTATTAAATAAGCTTTAAGCTACGCCCTGTTCATTAATTGACTACAACTTTTGACTATTGATAGAGCTAGCCGTTCCATCCCCATGTTAAAGTTTTTGCCAGTCTTTTTTATCAAAATGGACGTAGTTGAAGCGAGTTGAAAACTGATAGATATTGTAAGATTTAGCATCTTTTATGTCATATAAATTATCTCAGAGACAACAAATAAGGTAGAAAATTGAAATTTTAGACACTAGCGCAATCTGTGACTGGCTCACACAACTGTGTTCTTTTTGAATAAAAAATTGGTGCCAGCCATTTTAGATGGGTTTTCCTTTTCAGTGTGCAAAACTTAATGTTAGAACTAAACATAACCATCTCCAGAATGGCTCTTGGACTAGTGCTACCTCCAGATATTCATTACAGCTCAGTGGTTTTGACAGGCCCGGTGGAGACACTGCTCTGCTCGGCCCTGTACACTTCCACGATGAGAACGCATCTGCAGAGACGAGACTCGGCAAGTCTGTACCTGTACGAGGGTGTTGGTCGTTGCACGATAACACACCACATATACATTTAGTGTTTAATATTTTGCTGGGGAGTATTCTTTTAGTGTGCGTTAACCGTTGAACAGTTCACCTTGGATAACTTATCATTTATTGTCACTGAAATCCATCGGTTTAAGTTTTAGAAGAGATCAAGTTAAATATCAATAATTTTACTTCACTGATTATCTCGTATGTCGTTACTTTCTTAAAGATAAAAACATCTTGTAAACTACTGGTTTTAGATGACACAACTTTCCTGTGGCAAATCTGCTAAACCCTCAGGTTCAACGAGATGTCCACGTAAATACATAATAATTCTACTGAACGATGGGTTAAAATTGTGCCCTAATATGGGGATGGCTCTGAACATAGAATTATGTATTTTTATCGGTGTTCAGGGGCACTCCTATATTGCTAAGGGTATAATTTATGTAATTTAGTTGTTATTTAACTATTTACACAGATAAAGTCTGTTAAAAGTTTGTAAAATATTGAATATGATTCCTTTTGAATATGACTATACAGTAATTAGAAGATGAAATTTTTTTTTTACATTAAATCATTATTATAAATTAGTTTTTAATGTGAGGAACAACTGTTTCTAACTATATAAAAGCTACACACATTCACCATAAAATTTTCTATAACCATTGACTTCAAAGGTTTAAAAATAAACTCTTGTATTGAAATCATGTAGAAACAAACACAAATAAAAATAAGGATTACAATACACCATTAAATCCTAGCTATTTTATTAAAAAAATATATAAACATACAGTTTATTGCATGTATTTATTTAAACTTGGACTTGCAAGACTATAAAATATGGTTAGTGGTGATCAATTTTGATTGGATACTCCAATCATCATCAGACCCAATAGGCAAATGACCTAGGTATTTGTCATTTGCCTATTAGGTCTGATGATGATGGGAGTGTCCAATCAAAATCGATTACCCCTTACCATCTTTTGTATGTATTTACCGTCTTGTGAGTTAACAGTATAAGTGTTATTAATCATATATCTTTTTGTTTTTTTCAGTTAATTTAATAACACGTACGATGCTGATCAAGAAGTTAATCACACTTTTTTTGGAACAGACTAATCCGTGTAGGGAAAATCAAATCTCGTAAAATTTCACATCAAACATGCGCTATAGTGTTAATCTTCATTAAATTTCACGTTTTAATTTAAATTCGCCATCGAGGGTTCGCAAAATAAACACTTTGGTTGTAAGAGTTAATTGACTGATCAATATGCAAACTGTGTCACCTGGCCCAATCATTCTTGTAAGTTAATCTAATTAAGCTTTGCATTCAATTTACATACAATCTTGCGTTGGTGAGGCGTGGTAATGGTAATGATACAGGTTTACGATTTAACATAATTCTGTTTCAATATTTTCTGTTCATTAATGTGATTTGTTGTAACGGGTTTTGTCTGTGCAACGTTCGTGGAATGCAAACAGAAAGACAAGGATTTTAAACTTGTTAATTTTTTTAAAAAATTTTCAGAGGCAAGTCCCCCAACAGTTTGAGCAATTTTAGCATTACTTATTTACTACAGAGATTGATAGATTTAATACACTACAGCAAAGTAGATGATTAAGGTAAAATATTTGTAGTTTTAACAGGTTTTTGTTAAGTTGTGGTTTTTTGTAGATTATCCTCCAGGATGAGATTATCTTATGTTTCTTTTATTTCAGTCAGATTCAATCTGAGCCAACCTGCTCGTAAAGGTAGAATCATGCAGCAACATTTTATATTAAAAAAATAATAAAGAAAATAATTTGTTATTACTTGCATCTTTTGTCAAAATAAAAACACACTGTGGAGATTAAATTGTCACACTTTTTTTAATATTTTAGGATTTTTAGATTATTAAAATCATTTCATGGCACATGAAAGGTTGTATTTAAACTTTCAAAATACTTACCTACACTTCCTTCACCTACACACTATAATAATCCCCCACCCAAGTGACAGTTTTTTGGAGCGTTTCTGGATTTCATTGTTTGTGTCAAATGAATGTCACTGCATGTAATGCACTGTTCGAGTCACCTCTAACTCTATCATAGGGAAAACTATGTCTTTTTTATAACTTTATTTTTAAGTAGTTTCATTTTTCTTGTAAAATGTATACCTTCTTTTTCAATCAGACTGGGATGTTAGATAATCATATTACTACTGTGTTATTAATTTCATAATGGGTTGGATTTTTTAAAATTTAATTTATTGATGTAAAAAAACAATACCAAAATGGTGTATATAATTGTTGTATGATAATCCTTAAAATTGCTTACAGCATAGCTTTGGCACGAAGTTGGCGTCATCTTCAGGCTGTACATGAACGTATTGTTGCTATTCTTCCTTTTTTGAAGACCAGTGGATTTGAAAATGTTCACATTTTTGTGTAGTTTATGTTTGACTGACTTCAACTTAGTACTGTTAAACGATGTAAATTTGTTTAATCGACAGTCTTCAGAAGAGCATGATTACTATGATAACAATTTTAATATTTTCTAATAATTTATAATACAGCTTAAAGTTGGCACAAACTTTGTGCCACAGCTAGATGCTGTTAGGCAGTTTTAAGGATTATCATAAAGCAGGGATTTACACCATTTTAATATCGGGAAGTTAAATACCATCATAAATACAATACAGTGAATCTCGACTTAACTTTTTGATGGACCTTGAGTTATTTATTTTCAAAATGTAAGCACATAGTAGTTGATTGCTGTATTGTTTGTGTATTGTGTAGCATGTGTCTGTGTTTCTGTGTTGTTGTGTAGTGTGTAGTATGTAGTGTGTGTGTAGATGATACTGACGACGGCTCGGTGGGCAGCGGACGCAGGGCTAGCATCGCAAGTGATCGTAAGAGTTCACGTGAGTATGACACGTTAGGTACAACACACAATGTCAGCAGTGACTTATTGATACTGTCTTACTGGGCTGTCCAATTATCATTTTATTATTTTTTTTTTAGAAAAGACTTTAATGGTTTGTGGGTTTACAAACCTTTTAGTAGTCAACGTTTTAATGTTATGTAAATCATAAAAATTTTCATATTTACTCTACCTACTATAGTTATACTGTACTAGTACTCTTTAAATTGTTGATTGTGTAATAAAATAAATTGTCAAACATTTGGCTTCGTTACAAATTTTAAAAATATTCATTGATTTGATAAGATAATCTACCCAGTAGTTCATAAAATAGTTAAAGGGCTCTTTTTACTTTGGTACCAATTTCCACCCAAAGACATCAACATACTAAAAGTCTTGTTAAAGGTCTCCATTTCCATAAATAGGTATCAATGTTTCATATTTGTTATTTGGTCCACTTTTCCTTTGTAAGCTATCCTGTGTCTTTCACTGTTTGTCTGTTCAGTTTGTTTGTTGCACTGTTTTTCACCTCTGACAGCAATTTGTTATATTTGCATGCTTATCACACATGTTCTCAGCCAACAAATCGCAGAGAGAGATAATATAATATGTCTCATTCAGCTTTAAATATATATTAGTGTTATAAAATTATGTCATGATTCATGGTAAAAATAATACTATTGTATCAAAATCCTTAGTGTATTCAAGTAGAAAAATGTCAATAACTAAATGAAAGACTCCATGAAAACCAGACAGATGATAAACCACTTGGTGTGATACACTGGTTCTGGTTGACAACCGTATCACAACCAGCAACCGTGGTTGTGGTACGGTGGGAGCGGAACCTGTCTGTTGGCACACAACTGGTTTCTGACAGTTTTTGTTTCCGTGGGATGATTTGAGTGGGACCAATCTTCTTCTTATTCACCGCATTTAGGTTAGGCCTACATTTAGATCCAATTTACAGTTAGATACAACTTTTACAGTTGGTTGAAAGTTGGGATTCTCTTAACTGATTGGATTATTGTAATTGGATGCACATTCCATAGCCTAATTTTATAGGGCTGAAATAAACTAAAAATCAAAATTACATCTTCATATAATGTGTCAGTAATAGTTTGGTCCCCTAATTAAAAGTTCTAATAAACTAAACAGAGAAGGAAACATTATCTTATCAATTTTAGAAAATTTAATACTGACTTTAAACAAATTTGGATGTCTAATATAATTTTGATGAGATATAAATAACAAAATCAATTAGATTGTGCTAGAAATTATTAAATTTTGTTTCCGAACTTTTGGGCAATCAAATGCGCCTCAGCAAAAGAGAGACTAAAAATAAGTTTCAATTCCTGAAATATAAGTGTTTTTCATTTTCTGTAACAACTGTTTAACTCATCATTGATACATTTTTATATTTTTAAAGTGGTTGATATTGTATGAGTATTGATTTCCATAAAAAATAATAATAAGTGCTTCAAAACAAGAAGAATTGTTTTCAACCTCTTTTATAACTTGGTGTTTGAAAGACAATTAATTATTCAACTGTTATCTGTTTTTTTTTATCAACTGACAACTAGACCTTTCAGGGAGGAATGATGATTTGAATTAGTTTAGTACATTATTTTTGCCACATATTTACTAGATACTTGATAGAAAACTATTTAATCGCTCTTGTGATGTCCTCATGATTATTTATACATTTTAAATTAATATAATTATTACATCTGATTGAACATAAATCCAAATTGATAGTGGTAAAACAAAAATTAAGTTTGGTTTTTTGACCATTTGAACTACTGTGGGAAAGAATAAAAACTGTTGTTAGTTTGAAACGTGTTTGCTAGCGTTGTTGGCTGGTGTATGTGTATGTTTGTGTTGTGTCGTGTTGCATGCAGTGGGCTCAGGATCTGACTCTTTGTGGGGAGACCTACGCAGACTCAGCGAGGCCGGTGTGCGCAGAACATCAGGTACAGAACACCACTGGCATCCAACTACCACAACTACCTCCGTTAACACTGACGGCAAAATAACTCTGTTAACACTGACATAAAATTACCTCCGTAAACGTTGGCGTCCACTTACCTCCGTTAACACTGACGGCAAAATACCTCCCTTAACAATAACATCCAATCACCTTTGTTAACTCTGGCGTCAACCTTCCTCAATTAACACTGAAACCTACCATCACTATTCAAACTGACTTCCTCCGTCAATACCATCCAACTAACTACGTCATGACTGACTATTAACACTGAAATAATGCTTTCTTTAGATTGACTACAAATGTGGAAATGTAATTTCAGACCATCTTTAGTTGGTTGTTACTACGATTTGTCTAAACACAATAACTCTGTTTTATAGAATATGTTGGTGTTGGTTGTAATTCAACGTAATTTCCATTCCTCACAACTTAATTAGCTTTAAACCCTTTTTTTACTATATTTGTTTTAGATTTTATCAGCTGTTTTATGTTTCATTAATTATTATTGTGACTACCTGCAATTTTAATGTTTTATGTAAATGAAAAACAATGTTTCTCTTGAAGAACAGTCACGCTTACACTGTCTTCTTCCCAATCCTACCTCCTTGTTTGAACAGAAACACAACACTGTATTAGTTTCTGTTTCTCGACTAATGTAAACTTTCATTTGGGTAAAAAATATACAGATTTATAAACTACGACTTTTTGTTGCTTGTTTTGCGATTTGCGTTCCTGGCAATATTACAGTGTGTGTGGTATTGTATTTACTAGTCTACATTGAGGCAAGTGTTAGCCGATACTTGAAGCACTGAAGTGTGAATGTTCAAGGCAGACGACTCATAGTTCATAAAGTATCTCAGTATATTCCTTCACCTCACTCAACCATGAGTAAACCTCAACGTTCTAAAGGCAAGAGTAAGTAGTTTTTGTGTCAATTTTATCAATTTCACACGGATGTTTTGTATTATTTATTTTTTAATTAGTTTTCCTTTGCCACACCTTTGTTGTGACCGACTTCTCCGATAGGCTACCTTTAATTGATTCTCACATTCAATTTAAAGTTGGACTGTTTTAGTATGCTAAATGTATAGTTAAGTCATCAAAGATTTATACTGATGCAAATTAAAATAAGTTAGCATAGCTTTGTAACCATTGACTGCTGAAGGGACTGGAGTTGGTTAAAACCAAGGTAGGTATATAACTGCACCTTTTACCTTGCATGCTGCATGAGGGGGAATCAAAGAGCATGCTCCTCTTACGAGTGTCCTCTTAATATTCCTTAAACGAATATTTTTACTTTACAGTTAAATCTATCTAATTCTACACGTTTAGACGTTTTTCTAAATTGGAAGATTGATTTGATGTGCCATTGTTTAGTAGCTTGGCAAGTTTCCAAGTTGAACTCACCAGTATTCATCCAAAAACAAAAGGACTACAAGAAATATTGTATCATTGTTTACATTTTTCGGACACACAAACCAAATGTCAACACTGGAAATTCATGTGGTTGTGTCAGCATCCATCAAACATCTCATAAAAATGTTTTATCCTCAATAATATTAGTGGTAATATATTACTACAACCTTAAAAGATGTTCAAAGGCCAATTTGTTTGATTGTTTTACATACGCCTTAATCTCTCCATTTTCTATCAAGCCTAAATAGTAAGAATAGAAGTTTCTAAACCTGTATTCTTACTTTTGATAGAAAGAGTGAATATTTGTAACACTTGTATAGGATGGGTCTTGAGAAATAAATTGATTGTCTAGGTATAAAATGCGAACCAATTTAATGGATATCTGGATTTCCTTGTACAGTAAACCCTCGACAATCAGTACTAGTTAGGGATTCAATTAAAAGTCTGGATTGAAATAAACTTAATATGAAGAAAGGCCAGTACTATCCCAAGATTTTTTTATCATCCTCTGTATATGGAAACGTCTTAAAGAGAAAAAAAGCTTGAATAGTGCATTCTAAATTCTACTGAAGCACTTAAAACTGTGTAGGTTACTGTGGGGCTATCCGAACTCAACTGTATGGAATATTAAAAGGCGAGTGATTAAAAGTGAAGTTTGTATTAATTAAGTGTGGATTGCTGAGGTTGTACTGCTACAGTGAATCTAAGAACAACCCATCAGGAATGATAACCATTAACTTGGCATGGACCTTCGCTCCCCGAGGTTCCGTGTTTGAATCCCACCAATCATCAAAGTGGATAATGTGTTTTAACATGTTAACCTGTGGTGTTGACAGACTCGAGTGTGGTGCTGACGGAGGACACGGACAGTTTCAAGATCGGAGACAGAGTGTGGGTGGGCGGTACCAAGCCTGGCATCATCGCCTACATCGGAGAGACGCAGTTCGCCCCCGGGGAGTGGGCTGGCGTCGTACTGGACCTGCCAATAGGTACTGTCTTTGTATTAAGTGTCAGTAAAGCAATCTCAGATGATGGAAAGTATATTACGTTGCTAGTATAGAAAATATGTGTTCGCTGGACAAATGTTGCTCGGGTCAGGATTACCATTACCATACAAGTATGGTTAAAAAATTTTGTACTGGTGACTTACAATATTTTTTGCCCTACTACTATGAACCTGAACAAACAATAAAATCATTTAAAATCACACCCCAAGCTTTGGGCTCAACAGTCATTGATGACAAATTCTCTAAGGGCTTATGTTTTTAGTTTATAACCACTTACTTAATTATTTTGTTCAAATTCCATCTTCAGAATTAAGTTTTGTGTAAATTTTGCTACCCTGATGATTAATTATGTTTATGAAATAAAGTGTTCAATACGGTAACTAAAAATAATTAGAATAAGCTGGCGTATTCAGCAGATAATAGATTAAGCAGACGTCAAACTGCTGTTTTTGGGACTGATTTCATACGTGGGAAGTTAATGAAAACGTGGCCAAAAAGTTATTTTTTTTACTTTATCTAACATTATACAGCCTACGTACATTTACATTTGAAACAGTATATTTGGCTGTCACAGGTACAACATTTCTAAATAATGAAAACCTGTAAAATCATACACAACAATTGTGACCACCATGAGTGTGTGTTCCTAGGCAAGAACGATGGATCTGTGGCCAACATCCGCTACTTCCAGTGTGACGCCAAGCGAGGTGTCTTCTCTCGACTCACTCGGCTCACCAGAGTCGCACTGTCGGAGGGGGGAGAGGATCACAGCTTTCTCCCGACCTCTCCCCCCAGTCGACCTCCCTCCTCTACTGGCAGCCGTAAGTGTTCTGTAATAAACTAATTTAGACTCAGATTGAATTATTGGTATTACGAGGACCGTTCAGAAACTAACCTCCGTTTGGTCAGTGTGCCGGAAGTAGTGAGGCTGGAGCCAATATTTTTGTAGAGACGTGCGCTGTAGATCAGTAGTCATCTACCTGTGGTCAAGTAGTCATCTACCTGTGGTCAAGTAGTCATCTACCTGTGGTCAAGTGAGGGTTAAGTCGTTGAGTGGTCGTTTATTTCGGTTTTGCAGCATTAAAAAATGTGGGATACAACTAAACACCCTGCCATGTTTGAGGTTTGAGCTTGTAAGATTTTTAATGTCATTATTTGGCTGAAGCATTTCATCGGGAATGTTGTGTGGTGTATGAACCTAAGGTTATGAGCACAGGAGTAATTTGTGAATTGGTTGATCAGCAAGATAGGCTGTACAAAACAAATTTCAAGGTATGCTGACTTCCAGTGTTGTGAGGTTCAAGGTTATTGGTTTTCATTTAACTGACTAGAAGTTACGTACCGCTCTTGTACTCAGAGATTAACGTAAAGTTCTAGATTTGGAAGCAAGACAATTCTTTTCGAGCTTTAGAATAATAGTAGATATGACTGTCCAGACAGGGACCTGAGGCTGGGTGACCGAGTAATAGTGATGAGCTCTACAGGCAGCAAGACAGGGATGTTGAGGTACATCGGACTGACAGACTTTGCCACAGGGGAGTGGTGCGGTGTCGAACTCGACGATCCTGTCGGTAAAAACGATGGCTCTGTACAAGGCAGGAGGTAAATGAAAATATACATTTGGTTACCATATTTTACTAGCTTCTACCCCCTGGCTTTGTTTGTGTAATATCCGCTTTGTAGTTTTCAATGTGAAATTATTTATGTATAAGCATAAACCATAAAGTAGTCTTACACACAACCTTGTGGTTAGTCTTACACACAATTTTGTAAAATAAGTGTTATACTTAAAATTGTTAGCAATACCTACATATAGTAATCCTTGATTGCTATAGTGGCAACTACTTTCGGTTCTAGTTGAAACTAGTTGCCACTACAGAAACAAAGGAATATTGTTTGCAGATGTAAGCCCCTTTATGTACATTTTGTGTCGTAAAGCAAATATTTCATCGGTACAGCTGGTGATCATGATAGTGACTTGCAGGTATTTCTCGTGCCAGAACAAGTACGGTCTGTTTGCGCCGGTTGCCAAGGTGTCTCTGTCTCCGTCGCCCAACAGACGTCCCAGCTGTGCCATGCATCCCCCGGGCCCCACACGTCAGACCACCAAGGACAGCATCACCTCTACTGCCTCGACAGCGTCCAGGGTAAGACTGGGGGTCAACAGTCTTCAGGTAGGTCTCCTATAGTGTCGGATACACCTTCTCACCCAACGGCCACTGCAGGGTATGAGACATTTGTTACTTTGGATAAACATCATGTTGTGAAAATAGTGTTAATTAGGATGGCTTGTAGAAAAGGTAGTTTAAGAGACCGAAAATTCCCCCACCCTGTCCTAAATACGTAGGTCTATTACGTAGTTGTATTAAATGAGTTACAACCACAATTTTGAGAAGAAAAAATGACAAAAGGGATGAGGGAAGAGTTCTAATTTGATTGCCAGTTCGCCATTCTAAATAATTTAATATGTATACATAGATAGGAGAGCTACTTGGTCTTTGTGGTAGAGTGCACGACTACAAGTTCCAGTTTCATATCTAGCCAACCACCAATGATTTTAGCTACGTGAAAATGCCGCATCTCTTTAGGCTTAGTCTGAAGAAATGTGTAAAATGGTTCTAGGCCTAACGTCTTAGGATGTAACGACGCAAAATATTATTACCGACTTAAAAAATACTTCTTCCTTCTTCAAAAACTTCTCACTCTATTTAAAAGACGTCAAGAATTGTGTGGAGTTACTAATTTATGTTATTTCTATCATTGACTGAAACGTGATGAGATCACACTTCAACTCCTAAGGTTTTATGTTTCTGCATTTAAAATATCAAATATAACTTGATGGGAAACATATTCTAGCTTTGAGCTTAGCTCTGGTTCATGACACAGTAACTCCTTGTTATTCGTATGTATTTTCCAAATACAATGTTTATCTATGAATTAGGCGTAATCGCAATCAAACTCTGCGGTTTTACTAACAGAAGAAATATATTTTTGTTTTCTTTTACCCTGCAGTGTGTGAGTGTGTGTGAGAAAGTGAACATGTTATACCAGGAGACCAGTCACAGAGCTAAGTGTCAATGTTTACACATTGAATAGAACATGGCATGGTTTGCACTTCTTCTTCTCTCTAAGTTACTTACAGCACTGTTAACATCCACGTTAAATTTAATTTCTTTAATTTGTAGAATGCACTTATTAATTACTTAATTGGAAATTATATTAAACCTACAGTCAATGTACAGGGTGTCCAGCTGATGGCGATCCAGGAATGATACATAAACTTTGTATGGGACTGAGGAATTTGGATTGGCCAATGTTTACGGTCCAGGATTCATTCCGCGTTCTGTAGATAGTTAAAGTCATTGTGTGTTGTAAGAAGATAACGTAAATGATCACAAAGTTTCCGCAATTGGGAGAGAGAATCACGGGTGTTGCCACAATCGTATGTTGCTCTGATTCTAGTATTAGTTTTAAAAATCAATTCTGCTTCAAGTTTTCTAATATATTAAAAATAAAATAAATAGTGAGATTATATTTTTAGTTTTCACAATACATTCCTTGAAGTAATTAATACTATTTGCACTTGGATTTGAACAGAATTTTAATGTAGATTAAAAAAAAATTCAATTTGATTATCAATAATGTACATACTAACGGCAATGAACCAAAATTATATCATAATCTAATACGAAATTATCTAATGTTTACAAAAGGATGTTTTTATCAATATTTTTATTTTTGAATTGAAGGTTATTTAGGTTAGATTCTTTAAGCTTTTTTTATGTATATACAAAGGCATTTATTTACAAATTAGTTTTTTTTCTATTTAAGAGCAAGTTTTAACCTTTAAAATTTAACTTGGAATTGTACTTGGATTTTATTTTCCTGATTTGCTGGACGCACTCCCACAGTTTAAACTGGTTGTCTTTTTTCCTAAATTTCTTTAAATTAGGGCCTACAAACTTTAAATGTTAACTTAAACTCATTAGCTTTGATAAGTAATCAATTTATGACTTACATTTCCTTAGATTTCTTTTTTATTTTACTAATATACCCTTAGCACACATACTTTTCTTATAAGTAACATGTTTTTCCTGTCTATTTAGTTGCGTTTTTTCTCCATTTACTTGCATATTAATACTTGCTGTATGTAACAAATAATTCTCACATTAATAGTTGTATTTATTTTTATGTAGTTCTTACCTTGCAAAACCATTATCAGCATGCTTTTATTTTTATTAGCTCTTTGGTTGGTTCTGTTTATTTTAATACTATGTTTTAAGTTTTGTTGTTTGATGCACTGTTTGAACTGTAGATGCATGATTTTTCACTCTAATTTATTTACAGTAGTACATGAGTAGTTGTAAGAAAGTTTTGACAATCTTAAGTAAGTGTCTTAATTTTATAATTGATCACATACCTCAACTAATTTACTTCTTTGCCCAATAATCCTCCAAAGATTCTTGGGAATTAAAAAAAAAGTTTAAAGATATTTCTTATATATTAGTAGACAATATACAGTCATCTTTATCAGTAATTAAAAAAAAATATATATATATATTAGCATCAAAATTCAAAAATAGAAAATTGTTCTTAGTTTACGATAATTATTTTGGTAGTTTCTTTGGTTTTTTTTACCAGATAACTTGTATGACTTTATGAGTTTACCAGATTACAAAACATTTAAAATGTTATGCTTATCGTTAAAAACTATTTTCTACCTTATTTTTTGTTTATCAGTGCAATCTGTCAGTGGCTTAATTTAACTACGTCCATTTGTATTCAGAAACTAGCGATAACTTAAAAATGGATTTACTAGTTTTATCAATAGTGAAAAGGTTTACCATAGACAAATTGAATAAATATAGACTGTCAAAGGATAGTTCCGAGATGTGCCGCTAGAGCATGCTCGGTGTTCGATTTGCTGCCGTCGTCGGCTCCTCGCCGTATGCTACCAGTAGACACTGCAGCGGTGTGCGGCATTCCTAGGGTACATGCTAACCACAGCACTGCTGTCGGTCTATATTTGATTCTTTTTGTCTATGGTTAAACATAAATAGGTGTAAGTGTAAATTTGGTTGTGTTCCTTGGACCGATATATCGACCATTGAAGCTCAAGGTTGAACTTTTATAGTAGAGAAACTTGTTTGACAATGTGTTTTGTTGTTCCGCAGAGGCTGAGCAGACCGAGCACTCCCAGCAAACCCTCCGCGGTCTCCAGCAATGCCGAGGTAGCTATTGTTTGTTATCTGTTATTTAGTTAAGGAGAGCATGCTGACATGGTTCAAAAGTTTACCTCTTAATAAGTATAACTTTCATTACAAATCCAATATTTAAGGATCTCAAAATGTTCACTTTTAACACTACTTGACAATAACACTACTTTCATTGACTATTGGATACAGAAGTAGACATCCCACCCATATGGACCAGCTGTCACCAATTTTTCATTAAAAAAGAATGTAGTTGTGTGAGCTAGTCACAGAATGCGCTAGTGTCTAAAATACTATTTTGTACCTTATTTTTTGTAGCTTATAACAAGTCGTTCCATTAGTTTGAATCGGTAAAAAAGCTTGTTTATTCAACAGATATCAGTGATTTAGATCAGCACAATTTGTCAGTGGCTCACATCAACTACAACGATTTTGATAAAAACCGGCAACAAATTATCATAGGATTGAATGTCTAGTTGTATTAATAGTAAAAACTACTATTCTTCATATTTATGCATCTTTTTTATGTATAAATATCAAAACATATTTTTCATGAGGACTTTTCTACGCCAATATAGATAGCTGGTATAACCTTTTAAATCAGTTACAGTACCACGTAAATTGAGCCTAACTCAGAAATTTATTGGGGCGAGGGAATATTAATTATTATTAGTGTTGTTTCCTTCAAATTCTGTGAAACGTAATTTTTGTTTCAAAATTATTTTATCCTATTTAATTTAAACTGTTAATAATTTATGAACAGTTTGGATAAGTGTTACAAATTGATTTAACATCACTATTTAACTGATCACTTAATTAATAAATAACACTATAGGTTACTACAGTTAATAGTTTCCTTAACTACCTTTATCCCCAAAAAATATATTTTTACACGTGGGAGTTTAGGAAGTTAAGATAACTCAAGGAAATGTCGATTAATTTGTTGGTAAATAAACTGGCACTGGCTATTTACGGACAACTACCTGATAACAAAATCTAATGCGCTGATAACGGTCTAACGCCTAAGACTGCGGTGACGGCATTAACGACACTAACCTAACCTTTGACCGAGATATTAACGGCCGAGTCTGTGTTCAGGTCACGAAGAAAGTGGTCGTAAAATATTACTACCCAGACTGGGAAACGGACTTCTACTGAACACCAAACACCTTCTACTTCTTTAACATTAACTCTACATTACTTGTTTTATTGTTAACCTCAATTATGGTTGTCATTTTCATCTAGTTAGTTTTGCTTGTGCACTCCAGTTCGGATGATTGTGATGTTTAGTTTTGTAAGTGTTTTTCGTTTTTAGTTCTTAATTAATTTATGTTAATTACACTTTGTAAAATATAATTTATTTAAAAAACTTGTTCTACTCTTAAGAAATAAAAACTTTGAAATCTTGGTGTAGATTTATTTACAGTTGGATACAAAGTGGAAGAAGTAATCGGTTTAAGTTGCCTGCATTGTAAGCGATAGCATTAAGGGTGCGCTCTACCCGTCTGGCGCGCGCAAATGTAAGGGTTTTAGTTCTTCCTGATTGTAGCCCCAATTGTGAACCGATTTAAAAGATCTTGGTGTCATATTTTCCGTCAAATGTTATTGTAGGTTTCCCGTTTTTTAAAATTTTGATACTTTAAAAAATTTTGGGCTCAAAGGTTGGTGGAAAATGTAAAAAGAGGCGTTCTTTATCATGAGTTTTAATACATAAAAATAATTTTTAGAGAAAAAATAAAAAACGGGAGACGTGCAATAGATTCTTAAAAACAAGAACCTGGAATTAGTTTACTAAAAAGTTGAATGATAACTATGTAATCACGCAGACTCGAAAGGCTTGCAAGCGCTCTTCAAGGCGCCGTGCAGTGGCGCGGCCATGCGGCCAACGGCTCAACCTGTCGTCGGCTCTCCCACCACAGCCATCGATCGATATTTCCCCTCCTCTCGGTTGATTCTATTCTATCTTTGCGTCGTCGCCGTTTTTACGCATACTAGTGTCCCTGCTGCTCGAATTCGAGCAATTGCTATATATATAGGCGTTATTTTAATACAAATAACAGTCATAATTTCTGATTACTTTAAAAGATTCTACTCAAAGATTATAACATTTTTAAGATGTACATAAGAGATCGATAGAATCAACATTTCTTATAAATATCTTATCACTTTTCAAAAGCTGATACCGTTTCTTCTTAACATTATTTCTATTTCTTCACCTTGGTGGTGTTATATAACTTTCCTATGTTTCCATAGTTGAAAATCGGCTCGTTCAATGATTACTAAGAAATGCAGCACAGTGTTGTTAACTCATTTTTCTTTTTCAGTATATTAGGAGTAATGTAAATCAGCTCTCTCGCTTTTTTCCATTGTAATATTTATGCAAACCCAAATTCAAATAGTGAATATTTCATTTCATACTATTAAATTAGCAAAATTATTGACGGTTTACAATTTACATAGGTTTTTCTTCTCATTTTTAATTTCTGACAACAGCTGGAGTTTTATAAAAATTTTTTTGTTTCCCATGCTAATCTTATGGAGAAATACAAAACTTTAAAGGGTACCAGGGCCTCACTCTCTAATTATTTCCCTAAAAAGAAAGTTTCCTGCACAACTTCACGTTAGGCTATTTCCAATGACACCAGAAACATGTAAATCGGTTCAGTAGTTTCGGAAGAGTAATTGTGACAAAAAACCTGCTTGCGTATTAAATAAGTAAATAGATGAGTATACTGTCCTCTTTGTAAACAGTTATACTCAGCCAACGCAACTTGCTTGCACAGATTCAGCTTTAAAACTTTACCAAAATATAAGTTTGTTTATTAACGTCGGGTATGAGATTGTTCTAATAACAACCATAATAAAGAGTTTTTTTTTAGAAAACCAGTACTCAATAGTACTGTTTTATTAAAACAGCATTTTTAAATTTTTGTAATTAACCCCTCCAAGTTGGGGACTTGAATCTGATACCTCAAATGTTCTACCTAGACTATTGACCACTCAGCCATTCAACTTCAAGTTAAAAACCACTACAAGTCATAACTCGGGTCTACAAATAAAATACCCTGTCGCAGCAAAACTATTCACAAAGCAAATTTCAACTTGTATGATTAAAGTATTTTTACTAAAACGAGGTGTAAGCCCGTCCTACGTACGGGAGTAGTCAGTTAAAACGGTTTAGGCCTATAATTCAGAACAGCTAGTTTACACGTATAAAGAAAATTTTTATTGCAGCCTACAGTAGAATGAGTAATTATCAATTGAGAAGTGTATAGGCCTAGTTAATGATATCACCTTCCATCGCATACCTACCTCTTCCATAATCAATATTACCACAATACAATTACTCATACTATACACAATTTCCAGTAGGTCTGAGTTGAAACTCCCTAAAATAAAACGAAAACATCCAATAAAATTCACAGTACACATAATTATAACGTTGGTGTCCTGACATCATTAAACGAATCGTCCACACACATCCTTTATGTCAATTTCACTGCACCAATTGCTAAATAAATAAGTTTAAACAACGAAAAGTAAACACAACAACATATTAGTTTGTTTTGTAAACAGCTGAGTCAAAAAAAATAATATTCATTTGAACAAAAGAACTGGTCACATGTTGAAGGAATTTAAAAAGTAAAAACGCTAGTAAAGCTAGTGACGTAATTAATTGTCTATGTTTATTATCTATCCCGTTATCAGTTCCAATATCCTTGATAATTATAACACCCTCATTGAATCAATGTACATCGTAATTCCCCATATTCATTTATTTAAACTATAAAAAATTCAGCGCCTCCAAATGTAACCACAACTAAACACACGCCAAACAACTTTTTTAGATTTCATAAAAGGATGTTTAGTCTAATTGCAGTATCCTAGGTCAATGATGACGTTGTGTTCAATTTATGGCATTCATCTGTATATCTTTGGATAACACCCGTCTGAGGTTGTGGTGGTAATTTAAAATCGTATTCCTGAGGATTCTTGATCTCCATCTTTATGACATCAATATTTCCGGGCCTAATCCAAACAAAGTTCAAGCATTCAAAAACATTGATTGTAAACAAAAAGCTGCCAAGACGAATTAAAACATGTAAAAATTGTGATTTTCCTACCCTTTCCAAAAAAGATGAGCAGTAAAATAATTTGCAAATCTTTTTCATTTAACTCGTGTACAGATCCTCGACTTGTACACATCGATGGTGTTACTTTTCTCGGTGGTCCACTAATCTTACCTATTTCTAATAATCAATGACAAAATCAGAGTAAATAACCTCATAGTTCTAATAGGGCATTCTTATTTAACCAGCTGTTAGTTAAAACAAATTATATTGCTCTAAAACAAATCGAATATTACAAAGATTGCTTTAAAAAATAATTTGAACATCCTAGTATTTTACTATGTATATTAAATTAATCTGTCATCCTCTTACAAAAGAATTGAACGTATCAATGATTAGCATTACACATAGTATAAATAAGTCAACCCTCAGTATGTCTTTACATTTTTATCCATGTTTTTATCCAAATGCTGAATTTGTGACACAAAAGCTGAATGTTTACAGCTGTTATGTTAAGCAAATTATTTTATGCCAAAAGCTAGTTTAGAATCTTAGCGTCGGCTGCTAGACTTTTTAAAAATTAAAACTTAATTTCTAAAAAACTGGGACCCTAAACTAAAATTATGGTTTCGACATTCCCTAGTTCTCAAAATTATCTTTCTTTCAACAAAAAAAACATGAAAATCCGTCGAGTGGTTGATTCAGAATCGTGAAATAAAAAAACACTGTTTCGTTTTAATATTATACATAGATACTTCCAGAAATAAGACAAACTTATTCCTATTTAAATAACATTAGATTTAAAGAGTGCTTAGGTGTGCTGCTACGGGGAAGGTAAAAAGTGTTTCTTGACCATACGTCAGTATACTGAAATTAATGAATTTGCCAAATTTTATCAACATACAGTGTATCCATAAACAAGTAAATTAAAACGGTTTTAATTTTCTC